ATAATTCCTTAAAAATTAGAAGTGAGTAAGTGGAAGCTAATGACTCCATGAGACATTAAGAAACAATACAACAAAGTCAAAATAATGAAAAAATAGAAGAAAATATAAAATATCTCATTGGAAAAACAACTAACCTAGAAAATAGATTGAGGACAGATAATTTTAAAATTATTGGAAAAACCTGAAAATCATGATCAAAAAAAGAGCTGAGACATAGGGTAAAATAGAAATTGAAAGAATCTACCAATCACCTACTGAAAGAGATCCCAAAATGAAAACTCATAGGAATTTTATAGCCAAATTCCTGAACTCCCAAGTCAAGGAGAAAATACTGCAAGTAGCCAGAAAGAAACAATTCAAATATCCTGGAGCCACACTCTGGATAACACAAGATTTAGCAGTGTATATACTGAAGGATCAGAGGGCTTGGAATATGATATTCTGGAAGGAAAAAGAGCTAAGATTACAACCAAGAATCACCTACCCAGCAAAACTGAGTATAATCCGTCACAGGGGAAAATGGATATTTAACAAACAGAAGACGTTTAAGCATTCCAGATGAAAAGACCAGAAATGAACAGAAAATTTGATTTTCAAATGCAAGACTCACAAGAAGCATAAAAAGGTAAACAGGAAAGAGAAATCATAAGGGATTCAGTAAGGTTAAACTGTTCACATTCCTACAGGGGAAGATACTTTTAACTCCTAAGAACTTTGTCATTATTAGGGTAGTTTGAAGAAGTATGCATAGACAGAGGCCATAGGTATGAGTTGAATGTGATGGGATGATACCTAAAAAATGAAATTAAGGGGTGAAAAAGAGGAATGCACTGGGAGAAGGGGGAAAAGAGAGGTAGAATGGGGAAAATTATCTTAAATATAAAGGAGGCATGAAAGAGCTTTTAGAGTGGGGGGGGGGGATGGAGGAAGTTGGTGGAGGGTGGGGGAGTTGGCCTGTAAATCTTACTCTCATCAGAATTGGCTAGAAGAGGGAATAACATACATACTCAGTTGGGTAAAGAAATCTATCTTATCTTACAGGAAGACAGGAGGAGAAGGGGATAAGAGAAAGGAGAATGGGCTGATAGTAGATTAAGGGAGACAGTAGTCAGAAGCAAAACACTTGAGGATGGATAGAGTAAAAGGAGAAAGGGAGTGGGATATATAGGGACAAAGATAAGATAGAGGGAAATACAGAGTAATCACAACTATGAAAAAAAATTACAGCAACTTTCTTTGATAAAGACCTCATTTCTCAACTATCTAGAGAACTGAGTCAAATTTGTAAAAATAAGAGCCACTCCCCAACTGATAAATGGTCAAAGGATATAAACAGGCAGTTTTCAGGCCAGGTAATTAAAGCTATCTATAGTCATATGAAAAAATACTCTAAATCACTATTGATTAGAGAAATGAAAATTAAAACAATTCTGAGGTATCACATCACACCTATCAGATTGGTTAATATGACAGAAAAGGAAAACCACAAATATTGGAGGGGATGTGGGAAAACTGGAACACTAATGCATTGTTGGTTGAGTTGTGAACTGATTCAACCATTCTGGAAGGCAATTTGGAACTATGCCCAAAAGTCTTCAAAACCATCCTTTGACCCAGCAGTACCACTACTAGGTCTGTATCACAAAGAGATTATTAAAAAAAAAAAAAAAAAAAGGAAAAGAACCTACATGCACAAAAATATTTATAGCAACTTTTTGTGGTGGCAAAAAAATTGGAAATGGGGGGATGCCAATCAATTGAGGAATGGCTGAACAAATTGTGGTATATGATTATGATGTAATACTATTGTGCTATTAAGAAATGAGGATGCTCTCAGAAAAACCTGGAGAGACACATGAACTGATGCAAAGTGAAATGCACAGAACCAGTAATATCGTATAATGATCAATTGTAAATGACTTAGCTCTTCTCAGCAATACAATTCTGAAGGACTTATGATGAGAAATGCTATCTGCAGAGAAAGTACTAATGGAGCATGAATGAAGATCACAGCATTTTTTTTTTAACTTTTATCTCTTGGGGGTTTTTTTGGTCTGTGTTTTCTTTCACAACATGGAAATGTGTTTTGTCTGACTGCACATGTAGAATTTATAGCAAATTATTTGCCTTCTCAAGGGGAGCATAGTTCCAAATTGCTTTCCAGAATGGTTGAATTAGTTCACAATTCAACCAACAATGCATCATCTCCTTTTGGCAATAAGTCAGTACACCCCCCCCCAAAAAAACCCTGTAATTTTAAACTCTGAAATAACTCAATTATCAGCTGTAATTTTCAATAATTAAATTCTAATTGTCTTTAATTAAAAAAAACTTCATGAGAAATACATAACCAGTTTCAGCTGAAATTATTACAAGCAACAACTAGTTTAAATAGTGGAAGTATAGTAACTCTAAATATATGAAAGTCCAAATCCAAAAAATACAATCCACTCTATCATTGGGATTCAGAAGTACTGGTTGTTGAAAGACCACTGTATTTGCTTTGCTCAAATGCTGTGTCTGAAAACAGCATGAAATATCATATTGATATTCCAAAAGTGTATGCGAAAAATGTTGGCAAGCCAAGAGATTTTCCAGATAAATTTGGATCCTTTTAATAAGTAAAGAACAAATTTCCAAAAGCTCTGTCAGTGGCATCAAAAGGAATGCTTACACAAACTCATATGTTACAAGAGTAATCAACTTGATAAAACTCAAGTGAAGAGAATGTCTTTGTAAAATTGTGCCAAAGGGTTCTGAAGGGTGTTTGAGCTAAAGAAATTGCCATTTTTTTCCCTAGTGATTAAGTGGAAGCAAATTTATTTCATAACAAAAATTTCTTCCTGTAACTTGTATTTTGTGGATATTTTTGAAAAAGTGAGTGCTCTAAACAAATTCAACATTCTTCTTCATACTATGATCCAGAAAGATAATCTAATTATATGAAAATGTTAGAGATATAGATAACTTTATCCCAAATTTTTTTAATCTTTCCCAATTAAAAAAAAAAAAACCTGTTCCGCAGATTAGACAGAAAATGTGTATGATTCATTTGACTAGTCTGCAGAAGCAATTCTCATTTAAATTACCTAGGTATTTTAAAATATGAATGGTTAAGGAACACTTTTGCCATGAACAAATGATATATCTAATTTTACTCCTTCTGAACAAAGATTGTTAATTGAGTTGTCTTGTGATGGTATACTGAAACAAGTGTATGAACCTGATAATATTATTTTGGCTAAGGGTAAATAATCTGGTTTAAGCAACAAATTGATAAAAATTTTGCAACCATCTAGAATATTTTTGTTGTAGTCTTTATAAAGATATAATCTCAATTAGTGGTTGAGAAAGTACTGAGTAGCAAAATTAATGACACACTTTGAAAAATTTGCAGTAAAAAAGCAAGCCTACATTAATACGTGATGAAATTTTTTTATAAATATACAAATTATATTTTCCAACAAATCTATTACATCATTTTGTATACTTAAATATAATAAATTTTAATAAATTCTTGATTTTATTTGAAATAAAATGTAGGAAAAGTCATGAAGGAAATGACAATGTTTGGAAATCATTAGTATGTCACATAGCTAACACTTAATGAACAATCTCCTTTGTTTTCTTTTTTCTTTTTTTGAGGCAATCAGGGTTAAGTGACTTGCCCAGGATCTCACAACTAGTAAGTGTCCGACGCCAGATTTGATTTCAAGTCCTCCTGACTCCAGGGCTAGTACTCTATCCACTGTGCCACCTAACTGCCCCTCCTTCATTTTCTAAAATTAGGAATCTCAAATTCAGAAGAAAATAATGGCTAGAAGATGCTCAAAGAACATACCAAGCATATTTAAGACAAAAAAGGAGTAATATAAATTTGGTCACCTAAACCCCTGGAGAGTTAGGTATCCCAAAATATCTATCAATTGGAAAAAGCTATCCGATTCCCACTCCCTTCTTTAATTCCAATTACCTATAGAGCTGACTTGAAATCTTTGAAAATAAGATGGGTTCTACAATACAAATCAGTCTTAGGGTCATTAATTTAAAAAAAGGGTGAATATATTGAGAAATGAAAATAATGTAAAAACAAAAGAAAATTGAAAAACAAAAGAAAATAAGAAAATTAAAAACTGAGAAACCCAAGCAGCATTTACACATTTTTGGTCCATTCCTAAATAAAGTTATCAAAGGTACTGATTTGGGGCTTACAGAATAGTAAATGTTTTTCCTATAAAAAGGATCCAGTAGTTCAGCATGTGATTATATTCTCTATTATAGAGAGATGAAGAAGGAGAGATTTAAAGGCATGGAGGAGAGCCAGTGAAAATGCATTCTAGAGATGGAGTACCTTGTATGAAGAACAACAAAGAAACAACTCAATAGCAGATTATGTGGAAGAGATTAACGTGTAAAAAGACTGTAAAGGTAGGCAGGCGGCCTGGTTACGAAAGACGTCAAAAGCCAAATACAGAATTTTATATGTGTTATTAGAGGTAATAGGGAATCACTTTAGTTTACTGAAAAGTGATATAATCAGACCTGTGCTTTAAGGAAGATTTTCTACATGAAGAGTACATAAAACTAAAGAATCACTACTGGTAGAATTAGTAATTTGACCAATAAAATGTAAAGTGTTAAGCTTTGCCAAATCAATAATATTGTGAGGTAGGTAGAACAAATACTGCAAAATGAGAAAACAAGGTCTGAGAGGTTAAGTGACTTATCTGTGGTCAAACAGCTAGTTATTGTCTTAGGCCTATTAGGTTAGTGGGGTCACATGTTTTATATATGAGTTGGAAGTAATGCTCAATAAAGACCCATCAAGAAAATGAGAAAAATCAACTGCAATACCACATTTTACCCCAACACATGCTCCCTGTGGTTATTTAATAGTTGCATATGGATTATCAAGTTCTAAACCAAGAGTATATTTTCAATTAAGCAGCAAAACTACAGTGCATATTACTGTTTTATTGAGGCACAACAAGGCATTGTAACTTTACTCAACTGGAGGCAATCAGTGTAGTAAGCTTGAACATTGATACAGTTTTTAAGATTCATGGCAAATAACATACATTCACAGCTTTACTAGCAAGGCTGCATCACAATTTATGAGGTGCTAGATCAATGCTGAGTTAGTAATTCAACTTTAGGATTTCACTTAGGGAGGGCAGGGAATGGGAAGATGAAAAGAAAAAAGGAATAGTACCTCCTAATTCCTCCAGAAATAATATTTTTCCTGAAATCAATCGTAAGCAAATGGTCAATTTCTCCTTGGATCCTCAATCATAAGGAACTTTTATCTAGTATAAATCTATAGTAGGTTTTCAGTCTTGATAAAGGAGATATCCTGAAAAAGTAGAATATTTCCAACTGCTTCCATAAATCGCTCCCCTATGCAAACGTAACCATATCTGGTCTCCCTGGAATAGCTGAAGAATTGCATGATTACTAGCAGTTTCATGGTCTGGAGCACCATCATTAGCGTAAGCCGATACTAAAACTTCTTCATTCTTCATCAGATTGACATACAATGGAACATTCACTGCCAGCTTTAACATGTGAAAGATGAAAACATAAGTGCCATTCACTGGACAATTAAATCTACCAAGCTGAAGGTCAAAAGTTTCTCCCAAGTTGTTCAGAAGAAGATCAAACACAATAGGCTGGTCCAAAGTTCCAGGGGCCAAGTTAGAGGTTCTAGCTGCTGAGAAGGCAACTCTCATCTGCTGGGGGAGAGGATATACATGTACTGGCAAAATGGTGGCTGCTGGACTTGTCACGGGCACATCCACAGGGGTCATGCTACGAGAGTCTCCCTGTCCAGAGTCAACACTGTTGAAGGTTTCATTTTCTCGTTCTGGACTGTTCACCTGAGAAGAATCACTCCACCCTGCTATATAGCATTAGAACATTGAATGTTTTGAAATGAGGCAATTAGCTTTAAATTTATATTTAACATTAGTTGGCTACAGTTACATAAACATTCTGAACTGAATTCTGCAGTTCTATAAATGAAACATGTAAGTACACCTATCATAGATGTGGCTAGACTTTGAAGGACAATTATTTCCTTAGAGCAAACATTATTCTAGATGTAAATATTTTTATACTGTTGAATTTCTATATACTGGTGTGCCAAGGTTATTTAACTCATCATTTAAGCATCCTTCAATATGGAAGACAAAACCAATATGGAATCTTAGAACAAGAGCTGGAAGGAACCTTTAACTGGTCTAGACTTTTCAATTTGCTAATAAGGGAAATGAAGACAAAAAGTTAAGTTCCTTATTCATGGTCACACAGCTAATAGTGACTATGTTCCCTTTGAGTTCTAAATTTATGATCCTACAATTACTAATTGAAAGGAAAACAAGACCTGCAAATTTGGAATATAAGGTAAATAACTATTCAGTTATTAGTGCCAAGAAAAATGATTATCTTCTTATTATGTTAATAACCAATTTTATATATGGGACCCAAAAGTCCTCTTTTTGCTTTCTCACTGAAAGTTTCTCAAGGGCATTTCTGACCTTGCCCCCAAATTCACCCCACCCAGACCATCTTATCTATGTAGAATTATGACAATAACTCCACCATTGTTCAACTTAAGTAGGACTGGGTGGAGAATAGATTCTTTTGTATAGATTTCAGGAGGCAGAATGATCTGGGGGCCTGACAAGATCAAAGTCACATCCCCCAGCACCTCATTACAAAAAGCCCACCCTTCATTATAATATTAATTCTCTCATTAATTGTTAACCAATCAGAGTTGATTTTCACCCATCAATAACACCCCCTTTTCCAAAGGTACTTAAGCATTCAGCAACCTCCATGGGAGTGTTTGGTTACTGAGAGAAACCACTGACCTCAATTTATTATTTACTAGACTAATTAATATATTGATTATTAATTACCCAGAAAACTCTTGGACTTTTCATCTGTCTCAGTGCCATGACAACTCACCTCTTGAATTTGTACGGGAACCACCAGAGAGTCCTCCTCGTTTATAACACTGCTGGAAATTAGTATCCTAAAAGGAACATGTCACAATGTTGATCTCAACTATTACATTAGCTGTCCACCTGAACACAGTTAACATTAACATAGCAACTTGTCTCACAAGCTGAGCAGCTAGCTTAAGTTTTCGTCACCCTGTCAAAGCCATAGAAATGGTTATAACAGTTTAAGTTACCCCAAACCATAAATTTTACCTTTCTATAGCCTAAGGAAAACTAGTCTCTCAAGAGGTCAAGATTTTATATTTGTACACATAACAAACATATAAATCTACATATGTATATCTATATCTATACACAATGCATGCATATATACATACATATTTAAAGCAGGTACTTCAGAAGCAGTCTACTGTCTCTTTCAATTGAGTATTTAGGTAATTTGTAATTAGGTATTGAGTAGTTAAGTATTTTTTCTTTTTCAAAAATAAAAACAACATAATGCTCTTAAAAAATTAAATTATATGCCTCCTTCATCACGGTGAGGGTCGGGGGAGAATTCAAATTTTTTGAAGGCAGAGCACAAACTAAAGAGGCTTCAGGCATTGATCTAGTGATAAGATGGCATTTCAAATGAAACTCAAAGTGAAGAAACATGTGGAATGTTACCCAAAGACCTTTAAAGCAGTTTTAAAACAACCCAAGGACACAATTATGTCTTCCATTTATGAGAAGCATGAAATCTGATTTATTTTTAAATATACAAAATGTTATCTGTTACAGGTAATAGATCAAGAGCCGGGATCTAAGCTGAAGGCACCTTAGAGATCACCTAGTTCAACTCTTTAATTTTACAGATAAGGGAATGGAGGTCCAAAAAGATTAAAAAGTTTATTCAAAATCACACAGGTAAGGGCCTCAGATGAATTAGGAAGAGTATTCAAGTGATACACATAGATGAAAAGTAAGGTCCATGCTACAATGGTCAAGAGAAATAATGCTGGGAGATGGCTAGATTTAGAATCAGAGGACCTGGGTTGGGATCTCAGTTCTACAACTTACTAGCTGTATGACCTCAGGCAAATCATATAACTTTTCTAGGTGACAGATTACTATTAGTTCCGCTACATTCCTAAGCCCATTCTGTATTCTCCAGGTTTTTACAAGAATGAGAAAGGAAGATGCTGAAGATATCTTAACTTTCTCTACTGACTCCTTCCAATCTTCATACAAAAAATATGCTTTGTCTCTACATCCTAAAAATCTTTCCCTTCAACCTCCAGTACCATTTATATAAAAAGCCCAACTCTCATCCTTCACTACTAAACTTCTTTAAAGAGTTATTTTACAGTGAAAAAGTACACTCCATTTTTCATTACCCAATATCCATTTGACCCCTTACAATATGACTTCTTTTCCTACCACTAAGATTATACTCTCAAAAGCTCACTAAATAAAAGGCATTCTTCTAACTGCTCCCTTCCCCTTTTCTTGGCTAATTTTTGGCTATCCTGTCCTTCAGAATGCTCTTATCTCCTTGACGTCAGAACCAAAAACTGTTCCTTTGACTGGGTTTTGTTTTAATCCCTTAAGTCAGCTGGGTTACTTTTTTAAAAAATATAAAACACTGGAAAATTGTTATCTTTTTTTTTCAATTAACAAGCATTTATTTCCTCTCTCCCTTTGCACGTGCACTAGTGGAAAAGAAAAAAAAAGGTAAAACCCTTGAAACAAACATGCATAGCTAAAAAAAAAAACCAAAACCCACAGTTGCTATGTTTAAAAATGTGTCTCATTTAACATCGACTCCAACACCTGACAGGAGATGGGTAGCATGTTTTATCATCGGGCCTCTTGAATCATGCTTAGTGGCTCATCAGATTTAAAGTTATTCAAAATTTTTCTATACATGGTATTGTATACATTTTTCTCTTGGTTCTATTCACTTCACTCTGAATACAATTCTTTGCAACTTTCTCTGAAACCACCCCTTTTTGCCATTTCTTAGCATACTATAATATTCCATTACATTCCTATGTTACCATTTTGTTCAGCCACGCCCCTATTGATGTGAACCCCTTTAGTTTCCAATTCTTTGATACTATAAAAAAAGAGTTACTAGAAATATTTTTACACATGTAGGTCCTTCTCCTCTTTGATCTCTCTGGGATATAGATCTAGTAGTGGTATTTCTGGGTTAGAAGGTATACAAGCTTAGGGACCTTGTAGACCTAGTTTCAAATTGCTTTCCAAAATAGCTGGAACAAGGGGCAGCTAGATGGTGCAGTGAACAGAGCTCTGGCCTTGGAGTCAAGAGGACCTGAGTTCAAATCCAGACCTCAGACACCTAACACTTACTAGCTGTGTGACCCTGGGCAAGCCACTTAACCCCGATTGCCTAAGCAAAAAAAAAAAAAAAAAAAAAAAAGCTGGAACACTTTACAATTTTAACAGCAGTGAATAATATGCCCATTCTCTCACTTCCTGAATATTTGTCATTTTCCTTTTTTCTAATTTTTGCCAATTATTAGTGATGTGAAACATTTTTTATATGGGAGCTGACAGCTTGAACTTCTTCCTTTGAAAGCCCGTTTATATCCTTTGACCATTTGTCAATTTGGAAATGGTTCTTAGACTTCTAAGTTTGCATTAATTCCTTATAAAACTTGGATATGAAAACTGTATCAGAAAAATTTACTGTAAATTATTTTCTCCCAGTTAACTGCTTCACAGAGGTTCTGTCTTTTCTTTTTTTCTTTTTTTTTAAGGTTCTGTCTTTTCAAAAAGGAGAGGGAAGGTTGAAAATTAGGGTTAAGTAATAACTGTTCACTCATTAACTGCCATGGCCTGAAATCATCATCTCCACAGATAATCCCCAAATCTGTCACCACTCCTAATTTCTCTCTCAAATGTCAGACTCATATCTCCAAATTCCTCTAGAACAGTTCTACCTATGTCCCAGAGGGCAGCTAGGAGGCACAGTGGCCAAGCCTTGAGTCAGAAAGACTCATCTTCCTGACCAGCCTCAGAAACTTAGTAGTTAGTGTAATTCTGGGGAGGTCACTTACCCCCGTTTGCCTCAGTTTCCTCATCTGTAAAGTGGGCTGGAGAAGGAAATGGCAAACCTATCCAGTATCTGCTAAGAAAACCCCCAAACAGGGTCCAGAAGAGTTGGACATGACTGGAACGAGTGAACAACAACTTACATCCCACCAGCACCACGAAATCAATATCCCTAAAGCTAAACTTACATTGCTCCCTAAAATCAGTCCCTGACTACATTCATCATTTCTATCAGTGGGACCACTAATCATCTAGTCTTCCATATAAGAAAACTGTAGCATTATCTTTGCATGTCGAAGGTGAGTGAACGGAGGAAAGAAGGGAAAGAGACAATTCTGTTGATTCTACCAAGCCCTTGTTACCATTTACCAGGATTACTGATATGGCTTCCCAATAGGTCTTTCTGTCTTCTTTCTCTCCTCCCTATAAAATCACTTCTTAACTTCCTAATACTGCTAACTTCCTTTATACATATATTTGATATTAATCTGCACGAAACTTTTCAACGGTTCTTACTTAGTTGTGCCCTACCAAGTTCAAACTCTTTACTGTGGCATTCAAAGTCCTGCATAATTGAGCACCAGGAGCCCATCTCCAGTCATCCTGGTCTAACATCTTGCTACTGGACCCAGATAGCTCCAGAGGAGAAAGTGAGGTTGGTGGCTTTGCACAGCCCTCCCTCACTTAAATACAATTCACTTGTAAGTCATGGTATCACCTTCCTGATGTCACAGTCCTTTTTGAGAACAAAGGACAAACAACAACAATAATTGGGGACCATCCTGCATTTCCAGATGTCCTTATTTCACATCTCTACATACTCTATTTATCAAACTGGACCACTGGCTATCTCCTACACACACTCCCTCTGCCTTTAATGTCTTTGCTTATTACATTCCCATTGTTTAGAATGCCTGTTTAATTCTTACTCATCCTTCAAAACCAAATCCCAAAGCCATTCCCTTTGGCCTGACTCCCAAACTCCAATGGTAATGACTTTTCCCTCCATAGAACTGTATACTTCTCTTATGAACTTTGCTACAAATACAGAAGAAAATGTGATCAGAGTAGAGAATGCCCCTCCTCTCCTCCTTCCACCAATGCACATAAGAACCTATGACTTATGAGAGGAGGTTCTAGGGAGTTTCATAAAACACATAGAGTTAACTGATTTGCCAGAGTCACATAACTATAGAGTCAAAAGAGTCAAAAGTTCTCTCAAAAAGAGAACCTAAGCCTTCTCAGATGTTATTCCAACATTTCACGATACTTCTATATTTAGCCATTTAAAAATTTTACATACTAAGCTCTAAGACGGCAGGGCTTAGAAAATTAACTTCTGTGTTGCAACTTCTTCATGTATAAAATAGGGTTTATATTTGTGCAGGAGAAATAACTCACGAACTCTTGTGAGAAAAGTATTTAAGTTTTAATGAAATATTACATAAATATTTTGTCTTCCTCAGCATGTAGTCTAATACTTTACACATAACAGGCCCTTGATTAATATATGTTGTCATAACCTAAAAATAATGTTGTGTTGTATGGGATTTATATTCTGACATATCTGAAGAGCTTTGTGTTAAGTTGTCACCCCAACACACCTTAGTATGTTTAGGAACATTCCATTCTTGAGAGATGGCTTTTTAAAAATATTCTAGTATGGTTACCATTTTAATCCATCAACAAGTAAACCACTAGGTATCTTCCCTTACCCTTTGGGAATATGGTGTTCCAGGGTATTCTCTAGCTTGGAACTGCAGGTGACTATAACTGCCATTGGCAATGACAGGGGATCCTCTGTAAGTATCAAAACCTAAAAAATTAAAAATTAGCACTGTTAGACTTCTTAAACTATCCTTTTACAAATTTTGATCTATCTTCATAAATTGACACAAAAGAAAATGAGATATGTTTTATGTTATCTAGGGATAAAAATAGGTTCATTAATAGGTGAATGACTAAAATAGGTTCATTAATCTAAATCATTTGACCTGAAGGTCAAATCCAGGCCCCTTTTCATATGGTCTGTGAGCTAAGAATGGCTTTTACAGTTTAAAATACAATAAATCTTTATTTAAAAATGTAAAAACCATTCTTAGCTCCCTGGTCAGTTGGCATTTGGCCCATTGGCTATAGTTTGCCAACTCCTGATTAAATCACCAAAAAATTTCTTGAAGACTCTCACATTGCTGTATGTGTTATATTCTGGTCACTGAGGCTATTAGGTTTACTTATTATACAAAGCAAAAAGTTTTTCAAGAAACAAGAATCAGCAAAGAATTTGACTTCTCATAGAAGAGAGACAAACATCTATCCTAGAAAAATATGGACAACCTTTCCTGTATTAACTAATTTAATCAACTTTTATCATTCTATAAAAAAAAAATTAAGGCTTGCCATATATGCTTTAGATACTTTACAAATACTCTTCTAAAAGCAGAGGATATTTAAAGAATTTATAATTTATCACATATGATAAAGGTACATGGTAGAGAGGCGAAAGTCAAGACCCTTTGAGTCTGATAAAATCTACGCAGAACTCATTAGGGGAGCAAAACAAAATAAAAACTAGGCAACCAAGCACGTGATCATTAGGAATGACTGAAAAAATTAGGGTATATAAATGTAATTATACCATAACAATTAATTATGAAGAATTCAGAGAAACTTTTGGGAACATTCCTTTGAACTAATGCAGAGTGACAGAAGCAGAATCATGAGAACATACATAATCATTACAATACTGCAAAGAAAAATACAATATAAAACATCAGAACTCAAATCAATGCATGCCTCTTGACTCAAGAAAACTAAAAAAGAAACAAACCTCTTTCATCTCAGTGGATGCATAATGGGCCGTAAGTGGTAGAAGTTCAAGTTTATTTTATTTAAAGGTATTTTAAGATAGTGTTCTTTTAAAGAAAAGCAATGACAGCAGTTTAAAAAAAAACATAAAAAACACAAAGACAAAAAATGAAGCCTAACAGAAACTTATTTAAAACCATACCTTTATACCCACCAGGGGAGCGAAAGGAATTTGTCAGTGATCTCCCACCACGAGTACATCCTCTAATAGATCCTCGGTTACTAAGATATGATTGGGTGGATCTGGGGAACACATTAGTCTGTGCAGGATAAAAAGCAAGGCTACCACTGCTTACTTGAATTGCTCCATCAGGTTGACTGTTTGCTGCATAAGGAGAGTGTTCATGAGAATACCAAGAGTTAAGAATCAAGAAATGTCAATATTGTTGCTGAATTAAAATTACTGAAAGGGAGAAAACAAAACAAAAACTGATGAGTGTGTGTGTGCGCGCGCGCACGCGCGCACGTGTGTCTCTAGCTGACAAAATTCTGGTAATATAAATGCAATTACACATTACAATCAGATGTGCCTTGGGTCTTCCTGACTTCAATTTCAGCATACCATTCACTATAACAACTAGTTTAGATAAAAAAAAAATCTTTCTAAATAGGAAAGGCCAATGCTAATAAACCCTTAACCCTAATAAGCCCTTAACAAACCTAACTTAAGTTCAAAGTTTTCTTAACTTTTCTGATAGAGAAGGACATTAAAAATAGCAATCCCATCTTTAATACCTCTTCCCAATACTATACGTTGAAAATTACGTTGTTTTTTTTTTAAGGCAATTGGGGTTAAGTGATTTGCCCAGAGTCACATAACTAGTAATTGTTATGTGTCTGACGCTGGATTTGAACTCAGGTCCTCCTGACTCCAGGGCCAGTGCTCTATCCACTGTACCACCTACCTGCCCCTGAAAGTTCTTTTTAACAGGTTTTTTCCCTCCCTCATCTTAATTGGGTGTCTGATTTAAGAAAAAAAAAAACATGAAGCAAAATATGAAAATAGGCTAGCTATATAATAGATTATCAGTGACTGCTTTCAATAGCCAGCATTCATAAAGTACTTTAAAGTTTCCAAAGGACTTTACAAATATTATCTCATTTGATCCCCACAACAACCGTGGGAGGTAGGAGCTATTGTCCCTTTTACAGAGATGAGGAAACTGACACTGACAGAAGCTCAATGACTTGTCCAGGGTCACACTTTCACACATACTTGAATCAAACTGCCAAATGACTGGGTTCATACACACTAGCAATAATTTGCAATCTCTGAGATCTCCAATGAGTTTGGCAAGAGTATTGTTATATAAGTCATGAATGAGAGACTGCACAATAGCAAACTGAGAGCCAGCCTCAGTCAGAAAGACCTGGGTTTAAGTCCTGCTTGACCCTTATATACAATGTTGCTATGGGCAAATCTCCTAACCTCTTACTGCTCAAAGCAAGTCTAAAATTTAAAGTTACAAATAAGTTGCCAAACTCTTATCAGTGGAAGGGAGTTTCCACACCAGAAATCCCCCATCCTGATAAAAGTCCAAGTTTTCTGGTCTGGATAAAACATAAAATAAAAAATTATAAAATAGCATTGCAGCTAACTAAATGAGAAAGAGTAGTGGTACTTTCAAGGCACTATAAGGTCCCTCAGGGTAGATACTATCCTGCTTTCTTTTATTTGTGTTTCCAGGACTTAGTATAGTACCTGGGATAGAGTAAATCCTTAACAATTGCTGTTATCATCCATTCACATTCCAAGTCTCTCTTACCAGTCTGCTCTTGGGAGACAGTAGTTTGCTCCACATGTGTAGATGGCAACTGGCACTGGGGTGCTGTCTGTGTACTTGCTGTAGTGTAACTCTGATTATACCCACTTGAATAAGGCAAGTCTTTTATCTCCTGTTCTTTCCGTGGAGGCAAAGGTGCATTCACATTGAATACCTTAGAGAGGCAATTGCATATTTTGAGTGGTTTGCAATTTTTCTTACAAGAGAATTTCACTGAGCTATCTAACAAAATTCCACAATGTTCAATACTTGAGGGTAGTTTTAGATTCTTTATAGAATCTAAACCCTATAGCACAACCCAGGTAATGAACACACACAAAAATGACTAACATAAACAAAATATAAGATTTCCATTTACTCTAATAATTTATTTAGTGTATGGAGAATGGCACATATGTTTTCCACATTGATGAATTCTTTACTGATTTACTCATTCCCATTCCCATCAGTATATATACCCTAGTAGTCTGCATTTACTTTCATGCCTGTTCCTTTAAATGGTTAATATACATAGAAATAATTAAGATCTTTTGTATGTCTACCATGCTCAAGACATGGCAAGAAATAGAAAACAACAATCTGTACCTATAATTTGGTTGAGAACACAAGGAATACGAAGAAGATAATGCATAGATAAGTAGTACAGAAAGTTAAAGAAGTTCACAGAGAAAAAAAAAAGTTCACAGGAGATAAAGAAAGCTTACTATTTATGGGTTTGATATGGTCAAGGAAGGCTTCTCAGAAGAGATGGGCCTTAAGCTAGAAAGGATGCAGACAGGCAGGAAAAAGAGGCAGCTGTGGCAAGGCTCAAAGAGAGAATGTACACGGCATATTTAGTAGACTGTGAACTGTATTTTATTGGAGGCTTTTGATTTTTTTAAGAAGTCATTAAAAAGATAAAAAAATTAATTGGGTGCCAGAATGTGAAACACTCTGAAAGTGAGGCTAAAGAATTTGTGTCTCACCCTAGTAGTATGAGAAAAACAATTTTTCAGGATCTGGTTGTGGGCAGCTAGGTGGTTCAGTAGATAAGAGTGCCAGGCCTGGAGTCAGAAAGACTCATCTTCCTGAATTCAAATCGAGCCTCAGACACTTACTAGCTGCGAGATTCCAGGGAGGTTACATAACCCTATTTGTCTCAGTTTCCATCTGTAAAATGAGCTGGAGAAGGAAACGGCAAACCGCCCTAGTATCTTTGCCAAGAAAACACCAAATGGGGTCACAAAGAGTCGTACACAACTGGAAACAATTGAACAACAACAAAAATCTGATGGTAATCTCAGATTTGCTGTCTCTCTACCCTACTGATTTTTTTAAAAATCAGCAAGAAGGGAACGGTGTTCTGGTGATACTAGGTTTGAACTCTGATATACTCTCTTTTAATATATATGTTTAGCATAAAGATTTTTCACGAAATATTTTGATAAATGCTAAAAGCCCCAGAAAAAGAGATTTTTTTTCATCCCACTAGGGATAACATATAGCTTTAGTATAAAGGAAATTAAATAAACATCATAGTGACATGAACCCTGAACCATGAATAAATTTCATCCTTGCTGTCTACATAGCTTGAAAGGGTGCTATATTCACCGTTACCGTACTACTGCTTGCTGGAGGTGACTGGAAGACCTGTTCCTGGGAAGCTTGTGACATGGGGGGATTTGCAGAAGGTAGTGACGTTAGCTGCTTACTTGAAGGAATTGCTGCCTAGGGAAGAAAAATGTTAGGGTTTTCAGCCTGTGATCCATTATATACCACAAGTAGTTAGCTTACACTAAACCCCAGATTGTCACAAGTCAGCAGACTGGGCAGGATGATATTTGGACATAGCCAAACAAAAGATTAGCTTATGCTTACAATTCAAATCTTGAATGCTGAGGATGCACACTAGTGCTTGATTTGCAGCAGCTTGCTGACAAAGGGAAAGTGTCTTAATTGAGTGCAGGCCTTCCATCAATTTAGAAGATTAACAGTTGAAAATGCAGCTAATACACTCTTAAATTTTTTATTTTCCAATTAATACCAATTCAAAATTTGTAAAATTTGGATAAAACAACAGTTTGAGAAAATCCTAAAACTTTTGGCCAATTTTAATTTTCAAATGTTTGTATTCAACAATTTAAGTTGCAAAACTGGGGGGAAAGCTGCTAGTTAACACCAAAAGAGCCAGAAAGTTAAAGAAGTCTATTTTAATAGTCAATTCTTAACAAGCCAAAATATTTATCAGTCCATACAAGTGAAGAAAACAAATTATATAACAAAGGGAAATCACACAGCTACAGGTAAGTTTAACTCTTATCTCTTAACTCTTAACTAGGCATGGTAGCAAGCTTCACAATCATATTCAATAGACTATCCACTGCCTTGTAGGACATCATACTAAGAGGTGGATCAGCACCTTAAATGAAAGATGAGTTTCAATTCGGCACCAAAACCTAATTATTATTCTAATTTTATTTGTAATATCATTTTATGCATTTTCCAGAGACTTGTTCTAAAAGAAACTGCAATCATCAGGTATTGTACTATGCAAAAAAGCAGTTACCTAGAACTAAAAGCACTTCCATCATTTTGTCAAAATAGCACTCTGACAAAGATAAACAAGAAGGTAGCAGTTAACATGGTGTAGCTAAATAGGGTGCTAGATTTGAAATCAGAAAGATCTGGGTTTAAATCCTGCCTCTGATACCTAACTTCTCTGTTGTCAGTTTCCTCATCTGTAAAAAAAAAAAAAAAAAAAAAAAAGAATAATACCTGTAGTATTTACATTAGACTATTTCAGTGAGATTTTACATAAACCATTTTGCAAACCTTTAAGTACAATATTGATGTCCATTATTACTGTACCAGTAATTCAGTCACTGAGAGAAATAGAGCTACAATAAACCCTCCATTTCAATTCAAAGGGACAAGAATAAATACTTTTTTCTCTAAGTAATCCAAAAGATAGCACATATATTAAGGAAACAAGTCAATTCCTTATAATCTTTAGATTCTTTTGGCTACTATTTAGAAGCTTAAACCTAGTAAAGACAAAAAGCTTTTCATTCTTATATACAAACTAAAGTCAGTCAAAGAGCAATGTAGAAAGTATGTAAGTTTTTAAGTGCCACTACACAATTTATTTTTAAAAATAAGCACTTATATCATAGCTTTCATCTACCCCCTCTAGGAGCCTAAAGACAACAGGAAAATAATGTAGAAAATCTTTGGGGGAAGAAGCAATAGTTCTAGGCCCCTGATACATATTCAGTACTACTATTTCTGCCCTTAAAAAAGTCAAAGTAACATTGCCATGCCTCAATATGGGAGTCTTCCTGGATTCCTCACTATCTCCCCAATCTTCCAAATCCAATCTGTTTCCAAGACCTGCCGATTTCACTTTTGCAACATTTCTCAAATATGTTCGTTTCTCTCCTCTGACACTGCCATCTCTCTGGTGCAGGCCCTCATCACCTCACGCTTGGCTTATTTTAACAGACTGCGGGTGGGCCTGCCTGCCCCAAATCTCTTCCCTACTCTAATCCATCCTCCACTGAGACACTAAAGTGATTTTCCTAAAACACAACTTTCATCATGTCATCCCCTTACTCAATAAACTCCAATGCTTTCCTATTTGCCTCCAGGAACAAATACAAAATGCTATTTGGTATTCAAAACACTTTATAACCTAAGCACCCCATTCCCCCATTCCACTCCCTCACTCCACCCCCACGGGCCAGTCTTCTTACACCTTACTTCTTACACCTCACATACTCTTCAATCCACTTACAATGGCCTCCTGGCTGTTTCACCAACAAAACATACCGTCTCTCAGCTTTGGACATTTTTGCTGGCTATTGCCCATACCTAGAAAGCTCTACCACTTCTACTCTATTGACCTCCCTGGCTTCCTGTAAGTCTCAACTAAAATCCCACCTCCTACAGGAAGCCTTCCCCAACCCTTCTTAATTCCAGTGCCTTCCCTGTTAATTATCCCCTATTTATCCTGTACTTAGTTTGCTTTGTATACATTTGTTTGCATGTTGTCTCCTCCATTAGATTTTTAAGCTCTTTGAGGCCAAGAACTGTCTTTTGTCTATTTTTCTCTCCCCAGTTTTATCACAGTGCCAGGCACGTAGTAGGTACTTAATAAATGTTTGCCAAATGAGTCTTCAGATATTCAGCAATGTAAGTGCTCAGCACAAAAACAAAAAGATTAGGCCAAGACTACTGAAACAGCTCCATTCTGTCCAGGTAAATAAACACTTCATCTCTTCAAAGCTAAAGACTTAAATCTACCCCAATGCTCAAGAACTTAACATTTTGCTTAGTCACACCTAAAATTTCTAAAAGCTCAATCAGAGTTGTGTAAATGAGTATACTTCACTCACTTTTTTCCCTTGACAGTTCTCGAGCATTGAGTATTAGACTCCGCTTGAGTCTAATGATGGAGACAACATGCAAATAATATGCACAAACAAAATACACACAAGATAGATTGGATATAATCAATAGAAAGAAGATACTAGCATTAACACATGCAGGGTTTTTTATTTGGGTTGGAGAGGAGACTCTTTGAGTCAGAGATGAGTAGTTTCAATATGTTCAATGCATTTTGGGGGAAGGGTCTGAAACAGAGCTAAAATTGATTGGAACATACAGTCTTGGGCTTCGTATCAACTGAAGACTTCTTTTTTCGAGCCAAAGACAAGGTTTATTAAAGATCCACCATATTAGCCAAACTCTTGAGAAATCTGAACAGTGGCTAGATTTTAAGAATCTGAGCAGTGGCTAGATTTTAAGAATCTGGGCACCTTAATGGAGACAAGATGGACCTTATATACAGAAAGACTGTGGGAGGGATCTAGGAGTGGCCAAGTAGTCTATGAGGTAATAGAACTCCAGGGACCTGGACCACGTGGCCAAGGAAGAATGGAGCCTAGCTAGGATTAAGGGTGGGAAGTGGCTTGGGGCCATAGGGAGATCAATAACATCACCCCAGATTTACTGCCCAGTTACGCTGCACAACTTTGAGTTCATACCTCCCAATACAAATAGTTGAACATTTTAAAGCAGAGAAAGACATGGATGGGGTACATGTGGACCAAAGCGGAGCCTGAGACCTTTGAGATGGATTACTTACCCTGTTGTCTCCATCATTAGACTGTGATCTCCTTGAGAGCAGGGACTATTTTTTGCCTTTCTTTTATTGCCAGCACTTAGAAGAAAGTCTAGCATATAGTTGGTGTTTAATAAATTTTTACTGACTGTTATTCTGAGTAGCCACAGCAAGTTAAGGCACCTGACAGAACTATATTCCAATATAGCAGACAGATAATGGAACCTAGGGAATAGGGCATGTTTTCCAATTATGAATTTATTAAAACTATGAGGTCTCAGTTCCTGTACCTAGGTATGAAAAGAGCTTAAGTACCACAATCCTCACTGTCCTTGGCTATCTTTAACATATCTATAAAGCAAAGAGTTAAAATTAATTGATAACCTATAAATATATCTATAAATCTGTAGTTACTGAATATATAGTAGTAACTAAAGCTTAGGAACATGACCTTAACTTTCACAGAGAATGTAAACTACCCTGAGTAAATGTAAACAGCAAAAGAATCTCCGATACCATGGGAAAACTTGCATGTGACCCTGGGCCATCCCTGGCTATATAGCCTTCTTTGTTTTGTTTCTTTGTAACACCTTCATGGGGCCTGGAGTTGGTTCGGGGATCTACAATGTTACTTTGGCCTGCTGCCACCCATGACCTAAGTTAACCTAATCAATCCCAACAAAACCTATTAAGAACCAAGCTGGTATAAGCCCCTTTTTCTTTGTTATCTCAATATTCTTTCAGATAGCATGCCACCTTACAATTGGCAGATTGTAGAGATCTGCCCAATTGCACTGCACACCTTTGAGTTCATACCTCCCAATAACAATTGCTTTATTACAGGTTGAGTCTACTTTCCAAATCAAATTACTATTCCATTTGATTAGCTATTTAGCATTTATTCCTTATTCTATCATGGCAGAATGGAGGCTAGTTTGACAAAAACAAAGCCAGACATTACTCTATACATTAGTGAAGTATAACTATGGAATTGTGCAATTAATTGGTCATTACAGTTTATAAGTAAAGATCAGCCCTGTTATTGCTACCTTTATTCAGTGACAAAAATAAAGCTAGTTTTACTTTATGATCAGAGTCAATATATCTTTTACCTGAGGAGTCTCTAGCTCTGTTTCAGATCCAGAAGAAGCTTGATCAGCAATCACTAAAGAATTTGTATTATGCTTAACAGGAGAAGCAGCAGCCTAAAGAAAGGAACATAAAAGGGTCAAATTGAAATATAATTTACCAAAAGACACATTTTTGCTATATAAGAGGAGCTTTTTGGTCATGAGTATGACTAAATCAGCAGTAAAATTACAGTACCCACAAAAGTCTGCAAAGTACAAACAATTAGCTCAGGAACTGCACTCTAACATCTCTCCTTGTTCTAAAATTATATTAATAAGCAACTAATAATGATAATAATAATAATAATAAAGTACTAATAAGCAAGTTATGCATGGAATACTATAGTTCAGGAGCCAATTGTTTAGAAGGCAACTCATACTTATTTCTACCAATACATATTTTACTCTATCCTAAAATCACTTGTTCCAAGATAATTTACGATCAGTTCCAGTGGTAATCAAATTTTACATTACCACATCTTTGGCATATGTCTGAGTAGTGTATAGAACAACAAAGGGTTTCTCATTAGGAGCTATTTAAGTTCTGTGTTCTTAGGAGGTCAATGTTAAGAGGACAGATTAAGTGACCAACAACTCTAGAGACCAAGAACTTACTTGTAATGGCTCTTGAAGAAAGTCATTTTGGTTGGGTAGTTTCTGTTCTATGGAAGCTGCAAAATATATAAGTAAGCTAATGTTAGAAGAAATGAGATTTTATTTCTTCCATCTCTACAAACTAGGTAGCAAGTCAAAGGGGATATTGCAGAAAGTACTAGTTGCAGCTGAGTTATAGCAACTAATGTTCAGTTCATTAAGGGTTTGATAATGTATTTTTAAAAAAAGAAGTTGGAGAAAGATTTCCCAAAAAGGGGGGGAAGATACCTGCTCCCACTATGTTACACATTAACACTACAAGGATTTAAAAAAAAGGAAAGAAAGTAGTATTTTGAACTTTCATAAAAAGAGCTAAGTTGTTAACTACAGTATATAAACCTCCTCATTTCCCCTATTCTAAAATCTTCCCCTTAACCCTGCTATCACCCCCCTCAAGGTACTGTCTTATCTCTTCTCCACTACCAAATGTGTAGTGACAAGAAAAAAAAAGGGAAAAAAAATTCTGGAACTATAATCAAATCAATAGTCATTGCTACTGGAAAAGGTCAATATAAATACATTTATCCTAGCCTTAAAAAACAAAAACAAATTCCAAGCTGCACATTAAGAGATTCAGTCTTTTCTAAATACCCCAGCTTCTGGGATAAGAACTCACTATTTGACAAAAACTGCTGGGAAAACTGGAAAAGAGTATGGCAGAAACTAGGCATAGACCAAAATCTTACACCATATACCAAAATAAAGTCAAAATGTGGGAAAACTGGAAAAGACTATGGCAGCAACTAGGCATAGACCTAAATCTTACACCATATACCAAAATAAAGTAAAAATGGGTTCATGATTTAGATATAAAGGCTAATACTAAAAGCAAACTGGGAGATCAAGGAATAGTTCACCTGTCAGATTTATGGAGAACAGAAGAATTTATGACCAAATGGGAGACAGAGAACATTATGAAAGGCAAAATGGATAATTTTGATTATATCAAACTGAGAAGTCTTTGCACAAACAAAGCCAATGCAACCAAAATTAGGAGGGAAACAGAAAACTGGGAAAGAATTTTTACAACCATTATTTCTGATAATGGCCTCATTTCTAAAATATATAGAGAACTAAGTCAAATTTATAAAAATACAAGTCATCTGCCAATTGATAAGCGGCCAAAGGATATGAACAGGCAGTTCTCAGATTGAAGAAATTAAAGACATCTATAGTCATATGAAAAAATGCTCTAAATCACTATTAATTAGAGAAATGCAAATCAAAACAACTCTTGAGGTACCACATCACATCTATCAGATTGGCCAACATGACAAAACAGGAAAATGATAAATGTTGGAGAAGATGTGGGAAAATTGAACACTAATGCATTGTTGGTGGAGTTGTGAAATGATCTAACCATTCTGGAGAGCAATTTGGAACTATGCCCAAAGGACTATAAAAATGTGCATGGCTTTGACCCAGCAATAGCACTTCTGACCCAGCAATAGCACTTCTAGGGCTGTATCCCAAAGAGATCATACAAATGGGAAAAGGACTCACATGTACAAAAATATTTATAGCAGCTCTTTCTGTAGAGGCAAAGAATAGGAAATTGAGAGGATGCCCATCAACTGGGGAATGGCTGAATAAATTGTAGTATATGAATGTAATGGAATACTATTGTGCTATAAGAAATGATGAGCAGGCACACTTCAGAAAAACCTAGAAAGATTTGTATGGACTGATGCTGAGTGAAGTGAGCAGAACCAGAACATTGTATACAGTAACAATCACACTGTTCGATGACTAGCTTTGATAAACTTAGCCCTTCTCAGAAATGCAAGGATCTAAGACATCTCCAAAGGTCTCATGATGGAAAATGCTATCCATATCCAGAGAAAGAATTATGGAGTTTGGATGCAGATCAAAGCATACTATTTACCCTTTTTTTCCTTCTGTTTTGTTTTGTTTTGTTTCCTCTTTTTTGTGGTTCCTTCTATTGGTTCTAATCCTTCCTTACAACATGACTAATGTGAAATATATTTAATAGGATCATATATGTAGAGCCTATATCAGATTGCACACCATCTTGGGGAGGGAAGGAGGAAAGGGAAGAAAATTTAAAACTCAAAAGCATATATGGAAGTGATTGTTGAAAACTAAAAATAAATTAATAAAAACATTTTAAAATACTTATTGAAATTTTTTTAAAAAAGAGAGAGATTCAGTCTCATGCAATCCTTTTTCTGTTCCTTTATATAGGGAAACATTTATGCTTGTGAGGTTCATAACAACAAAAAAAAGTGAAAAATAAATAAGAATGTAAGCTTGAGGGTAGAAACTGTCCTACTTTTGTATTTGTGATTCAAAGTTCAGCACAGTTCTTTGTTCACAGCAAATACTTAATGGTTTTTCATTTATTCATTATTCAGACCCTTAATAATCTGGTTTCTATCCCTACTATTCTGAAATAGCTCACTCCAAAGTCCCTTAACTTCCTTATCATTAAAGCAAATGGATTTCCCTCCTCTCCCTCCATCTTCAAATCTTATCCCCACTCTTCCCCATTCATCCTCCACCTACTTTTGGTACTGGCTCCCTTTGGCTTCAATGACACTATACTTTCATGGTTCAACTTTTGACCATCTCTTCTGCTTTGTGCTGACAGCACATCTTTTTTTTTTTAATTAATTTATTTTGATTTATCAATGATCACTTCCATAAGCTTTTGAGTTTTAAATTTTTCTCCCTCTCTCTTCCCTCCTCCCTCCCCAAGATGGCGCGCAATCTGATATAGGCTCTACATATACATTCCTATTAAACATATTTTCACATTAGTGATGTTGTAAGGAAGAATTAGCACCAAGAGGAGGAACCACGAGAAAGAGAAAATAAAACAAAACAGAAGAAAAAAACTAGCAAAGAGTATGCTTCGATCTACATTCAAACTCCATAGTTCTTTATTTGGATGTGGGTAGCATTTTGCATCATGAGACATTTAGAGATGTCTTAGATCCTTGCATTGTTGAGAAGAGCTAATCTATCAAAGTTAGTTATTGCACAACATAGCTGTTACTGTCTACAACGTTCTCCTGGTTCTGCTCACTCAACTCATCAGTCCATACAAGTCTTTCCAGGTCTTTCTGAAGTGTGCCTGCTCATCATTTCTTATAGCACAACAGTATTCCATTGCTTTCATATACTACAATTTATTCAGCCATCCCCCAACTGATGGGCATCATCTCAATTTCCAATTCTTTGCCACCACAAAGAGCTGCTATAAATACTTTCGTACATATGGGTCCTTTTCTCATCTGTATTATCTCTTTGGGTGTGCTGATAACACATCTTCTTGACCTTAAAATGTGGACATACTCCAAAGCTCTGTCCTACACCCACTTCTCATTTTCCTACATAATCACTCCTCGGTGGTCTCATCTCTTCCATTCTTGGGATGAGAATCATGTCCTGTTCCTTCAAGGCCTAACTCAGATGCCCCCTTCTCCAGGAAACCTTCCTTGGCTGGTTTCTGACCTCTCCCTCCCCTACTGCCAGGGGAAAACGCTGCTTCGATTTCTTAGATCACTTTGCCTAGACCTCTCCCTTACATCATCACAGGGAGTTTGTCTCTCCCTTTCACCATCATTATTACATTGTAACTTCTTCAAAAGTAGGACATATATCCAGGGGTGTGCAAAACCAGCTCACATCAGCTTGCATGAGCCAACTGTACATCATAAATCAGCCTTGATTTATGATTTCATTGATAGTCCAGACCTAAGAGTGATGGAGAAAATTAGATTAAACTTAAAAAGATTCAATAAATCAACTTGTCCAGCCCTAACCTCTCTTCAGATTTCCAATCTTAGACTCCGTCAACCTTTCAGACATTTCCAGTTAGACATCCAGTAGACAGTTGTCCGGTAGTTCAGTTGATTTTAAACTCAACATGTCCAAAACTGAACCCATTATCTTTTCCACTGAATTCTCCCCCTTGCAAACTTCCTCTGAGGGCACCACCATCCTTCCAGTCACTCCGGCCCGCAACCTTAGTAATATCCTTGAGTCTTAGCTTTCACTTGCCAAGGCCTATTTCATTTATGTAGCATCTCTCAAGTACCTCCCTTTCTCTCTTCTGATGCAGGCCCTCATCTGGTACGGTATGGTATCGGTGTACTCCAACTCTCGAACTATTGTAATGGGCTGCTAATTGGCTTGCCTGCCACAAGCCCCTCCCTCTCTCCAGTCCCCCATCCATTAAATCAACCAAATTGACTTTTCCAAAGCACCATTGTGTCATCCCCACACTCCAGTGGTTTCCTATCACCTCCAGGATCAAATACAAAATTCTGTTTGGCATTCAAAGCCCTTCATAACCCAGCCCACCCTCACGTTCCTACCTTTAAAGCATCTTAAACCTTACTTCTCCCATGCCCCCCATGTATTTGATCCAGTGATACTTTTAGCTATTTGAAAAACAAAACAGTGCATCTCTCATCTCTGGGCATTTTCTCTGGCTTTCCCCTATGCCTGGAACACTCTCCTTCCTTGTCTCTCCTCTTGGCTTCCTTCAAGTTCCAGCTAAAAACCCACCAACTACAGGAAGCCTTTATCAATCTCTCTTAATTTGAGTGCCTTCCCTGTGCCCATTACTTCCTATTTATCCCGTACATTGCTTATTTGTGTATATTTCTTTGCTTGTTGTCTCTCCTCTCCCATTAGATTTTGAGCTCGAGGACAGGGAATCTTTTACCTTTCTTTGTATCTTCAGCACTTAGCACAGTGCCTGACATAGAGTAATAATGCTTACTGACTGACTTAAATGTGTTGTGTATATATTCTTCTCCCCCATTACTCTCAGTAAGTTATTAAACATTTACCAGCCCACCTCACTGGACTTCGATGACTCTGAAGGAGAGAGTGAGGCTGATGACTTTGCTCAGTCTCACTCACTCATATCCAATTCATTTAGAAGTCAAGACATCATCCTCATGATGTCATTGGTCCTCTTTAAGAACAAAGGATGAATGACAACCAGCACACCCCTGGTTATACCCATGTCATAAAAACTGGACTCTGAGTCACTTTGAAAAACCAAAGTTCAATGGTATCCAATTTTACAGATTATAAGGTTCAACATATCCAATATTTTGGCTAAGTAGGTTTGATATCTGTACTAGGTTTAGGTATATAAAAGTTTCAATCCATCCACAATCATTTCTTAAGGTTCTAGGGATACAAACACAAAAATGAAACAATTCCTGGTCTCAACAAGCCTGCATTCTAACAAAAAAAGTTTCACATGTATTTTAAGAATTAAAATAACTGCTAGTATGAAGGCCGACTTGACAGAATATGAGACTATGTACTCCAAGAGAAGGAACAGGGCAAAGCTTCAAATATTGCCATACTCTGCCTCCAAATTATATAACCGATTGGTGTATTCCAAGAAATAAGTCATTTTAATTTATTACCTAAATGTTTGTTCCTATCAAATTTCAACAATCACATAAGCACTGGGCAGGCACAAATGACTAGTCAGTTGGAGTTCCTTCCAATTTGGCAGTATTTTCCAGCAGAATCACTCTTTATCATGAAAGGGTGACTGTAACTAAAGATTTCAGACTGATTACATACCTTCAGGACTATCTGGAATAACTGAAGGCAGCTGTGGTGAAGGAATTGCACTTGAAGGCTTGTCAAAATCCAAAACTGATTCCTTAAGTTTACCATTTAAAAAAAAAAGCAAAATTAAAGATTATGAAGTAGGAGCAAAGATTATTAATTCATTTAAAAGCTCTGTTACCAGTAAGGAAGCTATAAGCTCAAACTTGCCTGTGGTTACTTTTATGATGCATAATATTTTTATTTGTAAGCTGTAGTAAAATATTAAACTTAGATCCTCCTACAAAAAAAATTTTAAGCTGCTTTTTAAAATAAAGCAGCTGCCAAAATAATTGAAGCTACCTTCTACAACTATATGGAATAATTCTCACTTTAGAGGAAAAAAAAAACCCTAACCAATTTCCAAAGTATCATCTTTACATAAGAGTATCTTAGCCCTCATTTTTGTGTGGTAAGTCTTTATTCAAGTAAACTAAGAGAAACTCCAATTTATTTTGTCTCAGACACACAATAGTTCATGTTATTGAGTTGATGATACCCCTTAAGCTTGAATTCTCTCTTTCCTCCCTATACCAATCAAACCCAGCCATTCCCTTTCTAGTTTTGCATTCAATGACCTTAACTTTTGAACTTTTACAATACTTAGTTGACACCACCTGATTTAGCCTAGAAAACCTAGGCTTTTACATAGCTTGATCCAACACAGTTTTGTTTTGGGCAAGGCAGACAGGTGGTACAGTGAATAGAGTACCAGACCTAGAGAAGAGAAGACCTGAGTGCAAATGCTTCTTCAGACACTTACTAGCTATCTAACCCTGGACAGGTCATAGAAGAGGTAGAAAAAAAACAGCACCTACATCTCAAGGTTGTTGGAAGGATAAAATGAAATAATACTCGTAAGGTGATCTGCAACCTTAGAGCACTATCTAAATGCTAGGTATTACTACTATTATCTCCCTAAATAAATTATGAGATATTTGAAGACAGAAACTATCTTACACTTTTAAATCCTTAACATTGTTGAACATATAGTGGATACTCCAAATTTGTTCATTTGAAGTAAAGTGCTGACAAGCAATTGTTTTAATGGCCCTATATATTAAAGAGCCACTTAGACTCTTACCTGCATAAAGTTATAAGTTCCCTGAATCTGAGTCATCAGATCCTGAAGCTTTTCTTTCCTTAGAACTGAATCATTTGGAGGGGCAGAAGGGGTATCGGCAGACTGATTCAAAAGCTTAGGCACCTGAAAGGGAAGTCCATAAGGTAGAAGAAAATGCAATTAAATTTTTCTATTAAAGAAATCTTTGCCACTAAGTTACTAAGAAATAATTTACAGTAGCATTTCACATCCAGAATCACTAGGGAAAGGGGACTCCACAAGTAAGTTCTCCCCTATGTTTTAAATTTTTAAGCCCTTTTGGATGGACTCAAAAGTGTATTATATTGCCCTCCATAATCTTAAACACAAGCACCATAATTTAATCTTATTCATAATGACTTAGTGTCATCAATGCCATACTGCACAATACAATGATGCCACTCAAGGGCTGATGTGTATATGCCTAATGACTCATGTAGAAGTGACTGACCAGCTAACTATAATGGGACATGACTCAATGCAGCCACCATGTACCATTTAGTAATTGAGAGCCAAGTCCATAAATATGGGTTTTCACTTCCTCAGTCTTTTTGGTTCTTTCCATGTTTTAGGAAATTAAGGGTGCTGTCTAAAGTAACCTCCAAATCATCAAAACATTGCCATACTTCACCTTCAAGTTCCACGCTTAAGTATAGTTACACCTATTACTGTAAGTATTCTGGATCTCAGGCTATGAGATGAGTTTGCCAAACATACGGGCCTTTCTGACCTCTCAGGAAGCTGATAGGTCCCAACACGAAAAGCCATCCTTATACTAAATTCCATTCAAGAGTCAACAGTGGTAGAAAGAAGCCATGTATAAAGATTCTGATTTTATAAAGAAAAAGGGGGGAAAAAGGTTAACAACGATATGTTTGAGTACTATCCTCAAGTTCTAGTTTTATAAACACTGGCATAAAATCATATTGTAACTTTACTTATCTGCCAAATTTAGTCCATAAAATACAAAAGAAGAGCAACGTTCTGCAGAGGCAGGCTTAGAAAACTAAGGTTGGTGATCATAAGAACATTTTTTAAAAGGTAGTGCAGGACAAATAAATCAGAACTGTGGCAATAATTTTGCCACCAAGATACCCTCTCCATCAAACAGATGTAAGCTGGGGGTCATTTATTCATTTTATTCTATGCTTGAATATGTCCAAGGATCACAAACTTGCAGAGAAAAACCTTGGTTTGAGTTCAACAGTAAGCAAGTCTCTTTTGAGGTGCAAAATACTGACCAATACAAAAAATTTTATATTCTTTAACAAGGGATATAAATTTTGCATTGTGGGCAACACAAATGATTTAAAACAGAAGGATTAAAGACACAGTAACTCATGGGGATCACAAAAGATTCACTAAAACCTTTTACAATCCATTATAAAACTTGAACTTGAATGAAGGTGTAGATTCTCAATAGCTAAATGTATAATAACAAATAATGAAAACTGTTGGCTCACAAGTGTTTCCTTGGACATAGCTTCTCTTTTTTTCCCCCTCAGTCTATAATGTTTTCCTATGCAACACTGCTAGCTACTCCATGAATTATCTTTATACCTACTGTTTCACCTCTGAAGGAAACATTTCTATTCCCACTATATCCTAGGGCAAAATTCAAATTTGGATCATATCTTGGCTACCAAAATGTCTTATCTTAACAAATAGGTACAAACTGGTATTAGGAAACCTCATCAACAAACATAAACATGAAAGTGAAGCAACAGGATTAACCATACCAGGTCATTCTTGTGTCTAGAATATTATTTCTAATATAAAGTTTTCTTTATTTCACAGTGTTTTTGTACATTACCTACTTTTTTCACTTCATGATTATGTTGTTATCTGTGTTCTCAGTTCTAAAATGTAAGAGTCACCATTTCAGTACCAGTACCTGTGATTTCAGCACCAAGTTCATTAGCTAGTTTGCACATGAGGAAATTTCACCTCAAACTGAAGTAGCTAAAGACAAATGGACTATCTCAAAGGTAGCTGGATCTTGTAAATAAGGGACAAAATTAAATCTCTTTTGAGCTATTTTGGCAAGGGTTATAAAAAGGGGTCTCAATAAAATTAGATAACAAGTTCTCTATAATGCCAACAGCAGAATAATGCCCATCAACTCACATCTTTGGATTCTGAATCATACTTTCTGGTCATCAGTTGCCCATTCATTACAAGGCTTGCTGCTGGAGGTCTCCAGGACTTTGAAGGAGATTGTAACTGCGGCCGTAAAGCCTGTTTTTGACTCTCAACTTTGGCTTCCCATGGCTCTGGAATCTCAGGTGGCTTTGTATCCTGTTCTTCATGAACTGACGTTGGCCAGGACCTAATGGCCTTCTGTTCATTCTGTGCAGAAGTCCAAGATTTGGAAGTCTGTTTCTTTGGCTCCAACTCTTTCTGCAGAGGAGCAACCCAGGGCTTTAGTGACTCTTTTTTCTTCTGTTCCCCTTGACCACAGACTGCATTAGATTTAGGAATGTCTTGTTCCCATGTGCCATGAACTATGTTGGATTTAGAGATTTCTTGGGTCTTCTGTTCTTCCTGAAGATCAATAGTAGCAGATTTTGGACTCTCCTTATTATCCTGTTCTGGAGTTAACACAGGTTTTGCAGTCTCCTGCTGCTTAACAGAATCCCAAGACATCAGGGACTCCAGCTTCTTCTGCCCTTCTAAATCAGCAATCACTTCCCAGCATTTTGTAAGATTTGGCTTCCTGGTATAACCTTCTTCCCAAGATTGCTGTCCTTCTGGTTTCTTGCTTGAATACTCAACTTCAGATAGGTAGCGTCTGTTGAGAAACTAAGCCAGAGAAGTCCACTTATGCTTAAGATATGAAATTAGGAAGGTTATTTATTTGATTGAATAAATGTGCCTGTTTTTGCCAAGTTCTCTTTCACTATGCCACAAACAAAATCAGAGCAGGGGAACGGACAAATAAAGGAGGAGCATGATATAACAGCTTTAGTAGAAGACACTGATGGAGAAACTGAAGAAAGGGTTCAGAAAACTCTATAGTCCACAAAAACAAAACTATACCTATTTGAGGACTATGGATCATGTCCTGGGTCTTACTTAGTAGCTGTTGCCTTTGATTGCTTAAGGAAAAAGCAAAAGACCAGAAGTATCTTTACACTTCTTTGATGAACTCTATTTGGCTTCCTGTATTCTACCTAGGAAACTACATAGTAACTTAATATGTTACAAGGAAAGAACATTGTGGCTTATGACTTACTGGGTTAGAGTCTAAAGCATTTGTGTATTTTCACCAAATTTGATACTAAAAATTAAATAATGGTTCAGCATTTAAAAAATGCTTATTGACAAGAACAAAAACCATATGAAGACACCAACAAAAGATACAGAAAAGGCTTTTGATAGAAGTACAACAATCATTCATGTTTTTCAAAAAAACATAGAAGAAAAGGATCTTTAATATTATAAAAAACATTTATCTAAAACCAAGTACTAATATGATTTATAATGGAAAAATGCTGAAAGCTTTCCTAGCAGGATCAGGAGCTAATCAATCTGTCCACTCTCACCAATACTTTTTTTGTCAAAAAACTAGAAATGCTAACTACATTAATAAGAAATTAAGAGAATTAGTGTAGGGAAAAGAGTCAAAATTATTACTCTTTGACCAAGACATTAAAGTTAACTTTTAAAAACCCTAGAAAATAAATCAAGAAGATCCCAAGTAATAGCATCAGTAAAATAGCACAATACTTTTAAAAAGTCAAACATCATCAGCATTACTAAAAAAATCCAGGAGAAATAAAAGAACTCCATTTAAGATACAACCCTCCTTCAAAACAGAACTAAACTATACCTGAATATCCAATACTGATGACTAGGTTATGCCAATATAAGTATTATTTAAGTTAATCTACAAATCTAATTCTTATCTAATTGCCAATTATTAAAAAAATGTTAAAAATCACTCAACAGATTTTTAAAAAAGCAATACTCATAAGGAGGAACAAAAGGTCAAAACATCTATGCAAATAACAGGGAAAAAATAGGAATGAAGGGGATTTGGCATTATTAGTTCTTAAGTTATATCATATAGCAGTAATTATTGGAACTATATCCTGAACTAAAAAAAATAGCATAGACTACCTATGTCAGTCTAGTCTTTGATAAGCCCTAGAAAATGAAATACTAAGGAAAAACTTCTTTGTTCAAGAAGAAGTAGTGAGAAAACTAGATAGCAGTTTGGTGAAAAATAGGTTTAGACCAGAATTTTAAATACTATATTGCACAAAAAATTCCAAATGGGTAAACAAACTAAACATAAGGAACCAACTTATTCATTCAAGAGAATGAATTTGTAAACTTGTAACTTGAATTTGTAAACATGACAAAAAACACAACAGATTATTTTGACTATACAAAAATTACAAAACTTTTACATAAGTAAAATGTAGCTGGAAGAAAATATTTTCTCCACCTCATTTCTTTGCACAAAGCATCTGATAGATCTGACATACGCAACACACAGGGAACTGATACAAATTTAAGATTATGAGTCAGTCTCCCTTAGCCTGTGGTCTAAGGGTATGAATAAGCAGTGTTTTTTTTTAAAGTGACTTATTGTTTTTAATTTTTAAAACTATTTCCCCCAATTACATGTTAAAACAATTTTTAGCATTTTTTTAAGTTCTGAATTCCAAATTCTATCCCTCCCTCCTCCCCCCCACACAATAAGTAATCAGTTATAGGTTATGCATGTGCAATCATGTAAAACATTTCCATATTAATCATTTTGTACAAGAAGGCTTGAATAAAATAAAGAGAATTTTAAAAAGTGAAAAATAGCATGCTTCAGTCTGTGTTCAAACAATATCAGTTCTTTCTCGGGAGGCAGATAGTATGCTTCCTTTGGGAATGTCTTGGAATATTGCTGAGAATATTTAAGTCATTCATAGTTCTTCACTGAACAACATTGCTGTTACCATGTACAACGTTCTCCTGGTTTTGTTCACTTCACTATGCATCAGCTCATGTAAGTCTTTCCAGGTTTTTCTGAAATCATCCTGCTTGTCATTTCTCATAGTACAATTCCATTACAATCATATACCACAGCTTGTTTAGCCATTCCCCAATTGACGGGCATCCCATGAATAAGCAGTTTCAAAAATAACTCCCTGTTGGAACGGATGCAATAAAACAAATGGATTGCTAGTTGGTTCAACCATTTTGGAAAAGAATTTGTAAGTTACTCTTACCATGGGTTTGTACCAAAAGGATATTATTTGCAGATATCCAGATTTTATCTGTACAAAATTACTCATCTCAATGCTATTTGTAATAGAAAAAGATTAGAAACAAAGTATATGACTATGATTAAGAAATGTCTTAACATACATATTTATAGGAATATAATGTCATCACTGTGTCATAAGAAACACATATGAAGAATTCAAAGAAATACGGGAAGACTTAAGTGAACTAATGCAGTAACCAGTGCATTCATAAACCAAAGCAACCATAATGTCATACACAACATTACAGAAGTGGAGTTTAAATGGCAACAAAACTTATAAAAATATGACAATATATAAAATACGACAAAGTTAGTGTTTCCTTTCACAAATGGAAATGATTCAGTAAAAATTAAAATTGGTCCAGATATTCTGCAGTTCTCTCATTTTTGTCCACCTAAGAATGTTCCATATGAGGAAATATCTTGTATTACTCTTAGAATACTCATCTTGAAAGGCCAGAATCTATCTTTACCTGAGTATTTACCAGTACCAAGTCAGTGGTCTCCAGGGTACACATGGATGGGTGTTTAACATTCTTAAAGAGCTGCATTTTTATGACTAAAGCCTTGGCCTAAATCTCCTCAAGCCTTACAAGTCAGTCAAACACAAGGTAGTGAACAGAGAAATGCTAAAGAAACCTTGACATCATCGTTCTTCAAAACAAGTTTAAGTATCAGAATTCATACCATAACTAAACAACCTTCCTCTCTCACCATGGAAGAGAGGTCCTATTCTTTCCTAATGCTCCCTATACAGTGGAGGAAAATGAAAATAAATCTTAAGACATCTATCTGTCCTCTACAAAAAATTTATAATACCTACATGTCTGTACTGGACTCATTTACGAATCTAAAGAACATGCTGCTAAACCTCTAGTTTTCTTATTATACCCACTTGTTTGAATCTCTTAAAATAAACTTAGATGATAGGCAAGTTAGAATTTCTAAGGCTGTCTTCTCTTTATCACCTCAGAGAGGCAAGAAATACACCAAATAAAATAAAAACAAGAGAGAGACAAACATCATTAAATGAAAAAAATTCTACCAAGTAGATCTAAGTGCCAAGTAAAATAATAACAATTTAAGAAATAATGAGGTAAACAGAGGAGAATCACAAGGCAACAATTTTATTAAAATCTTCAAAAAGGAAAAGAGTATACAAGAATTACAGTCATTAAAAATCAGAGCTCTTAAAAGGAAAATTCAAAAAGAAAAAATGATGCTTTAGGGGAAAAAAATGCCAGAAAATAAAGCCATAGGCTAAAAACAAGTTGGTGCATCAATGCAGAGAGTCGCAACCAAAAGTAAAAAATACTATAGCAGGGGCAGCTAGGTGGCGCAGTGGGTAGTGCACCGGCCCTGGAGTCAGGAAGACCTGAATTCAAATTCAGCCTCAGACATTGACACTTACTAGCTGTGTGACCCTGGGCAGGTCACTTAACCCCACTGCCTAGTAAAAAACAAAAAATACTATAGCAAATTCAAATTACCTCTAAGTTGACATAAAACAAAATCTTTACAAATCAAAGACAAGCGACCTTAAGAGTAGAGCTTAGTAAGTCAATCATTGGCCTTTCAAAAAAAGACATTTAACCAAAAACCTGAATACCATACTCCAGGAAATCTTACAAGAAAATTGGCCAGAGTTATCGGAAACAGAGGGCAGACAAAGTATAGCTGGTAGTATATAGACCATGAGAGGGACAACCTGGGTTTAAATAACCCAGATATAAGATTTTCAAGGGCCTTTGGCACTTGGAAATTGCAAGTGGCCTGGAGATAATTTAAGTACAATGTTGCATCTATCCTTACTCTCCCAAAGCTACTCAATGAAAAAAGAAAGAAAAGGCTAGCATATCACACACACACCCCCCCCACACACCCCAAAAAGGCAACTGCTGGCAGAGCAAAGCATATTCCTTTTGGGGACAAATGGATTTTTTTTTTTAGTGATGCAATTGGGGTTAAGTGACTTGCCCAAGGTCACATAGCTAGTACATGGCAAGTGTTTGGTCTGAGGCCGGATTTGAACTCAGGTCCTCCTGACTTCAGGGCCGGCACTCTATCCACTAGTTGCCCCGACAAATGGATTTTCAAACAAAAGCATTTTTCTTCTTAAAGATCTGTTATTCCTTTTTAAAAAATGACTATAGGAGAGTCTTTGAAATGCAATAATATGCAAACAAAACAAAACAAACGTGCTGAAATATCTTGAAATCTTGTACTGATTGGCTGCAAGGTCTAAGAAACTACTCTCCTTTGGAAGTCCCACCTAATCAATAAGGTCATTAAGGGAACAAGTCAATGTCACCTACAGACATGGTGATCATAAAATAGTACTCTAGAAGAGAAAAGAGGTACAAGAAACTTAATAGTTCTTGAAATCAGCAAACAACAACTAAAGGTTGTTAAAAACAGAAAAAGGGCAGAGGGGCTCATGATCTACACTTAGCTGGTAAAGGTACTTTAAAAAAAAATATTACAGCAAGTTCACTAGGGACCCTGCCCACTTCTATAGGCATTACAATAAACT